GTATCTTTTACTTAGATACTATTTTTTTAAATTTTTATAAAGTATGAGTTATTTTATTTCATTGTTTAAATATTTTGTTTTACTTGTAATACCTAGTTACTTGTTTTTTCTTTTGTTAAAATATGTTATATATTAATAATAATGTATTAGTAAATATATGTTATTTATTATTTGGTTACGTTATTGGTTTTGCAACGATGTGTTTTGTTTTTTGTGTCTCCTAATACTTTTTTTGTAGTTAAAATGTTTCAATTTTCGACTTCAATAGTGCAGTACATTTTCCGATACATCGAAAAGTGAACCTAATTTATTATTTGAATGTTAAAGAGGTCAAAAATTAAGGGTAAAACAAACAGTAATATTTTTTTTCATTTTTATAAATCATAAGATTCGGTGCAATAACCAGCCATCTCCACATTTTTTTAGTGAATTTATTATTATAAATCAAGAATATGTTGTATTATTATATATTGTTTTGTAAAACATAACTATAATACATAGTTTTAAAGTTTTGCAACTTTTTAATATTTATGATTATATTTTCAACTTAAATTGATATTAGGTCAAAAAACGAATAAAAAAAAAAATTTAATTCGGTGCAATAACCAGGTATCTCCATGTTTTTTTATTTTTACTATTTAATTAATGTACTTAAAATAATGTAAAATGTAAATATATATATGCATATAGATAGCTCTTCATACGGAGAATTCAATTATGTTTATATTATATTTATACCTCAATTAGAAATATATTTATTTCGTTATTTATTTCTACTGAACAATTTCAAAAAGTGGAGGTAGCTGGTTCTTGCACCACACCCTTCAATTTGAAAAAGCAGTACCAATTGACTAAATCGAAAATTACCAAATCCAATTAAATAATTTCTATTGATAAAAGTTATACAATATCCTTCGATTTTCAAAGCGGGAAAAATACTAATAGGTTATACTGTTTTCAACAAAAATTTAATTCTTTTCATTTTTTTGTTTGAATATTTTCAACAAAACTTTTTATTCTTTTTTTAATTTTTTGTTTGCATGTTTTTAATAAAAATGGACCAAATTTCAAACAACTATCGTAACATATAATTATGTAGTTATAACATTAAGTCATGGATATGTTTTCGAGTTAAAACTTTGACTTGTATTATTTTAGTAACCAATGTAATTAGAGAATGCTTTTCTGTTCTTGTAATTCTTCTTAAGATTCATCTAAAAAACATATCCATGTTATAAATCTATATAATATATCATGTATATTTATAATTATCTAGCTTAATATTTAATTGTATGTGAACCTTTCGAAAAATATATGTTTTTCATCATTTTTTTTAAATTTTCTATGTACTAATATGTAAATAGTATAAAATATTACATGTTTTAGTTTTAAATATGTAGTAAAAAATAAGTATTCAAAAATGTATAATTATTTCATATAATTGATACCTATATTTATTTTATATGTAACTAATTATGTTATTATTATCGAAAAATATAATTATCATTCAAATGAAATAGTATAACTTCTTAAACAAAAAAATAATTTTATAATATAATTTTTAGAAATTTAATGTTGGCAACACATTTTATGCCTCCGTCTTTCAATTCCGGTTCTTATCATTTTTCGGACACCTGCTCCCAACTCCAATAATGAAATCAGTCAGCCATTTTATTTGAGGTACAGTAGGACGTTAGTAACATTTTATTCCATCATGAAACGGTAGTAATATTCTTTATAAGCTACTATGCATTTTCAAATGTTACTAATAATAGTATTATTTTTCAAGGTATTAGGTGCAATAAGAGTTTGAGATTTGGGGGGCTTATAAGTCTTATACTATGGTATGACAATGGGTCATACCCCCAACCTCCCATCATTACCAAAACAAATATAAATTGTGTTTTTGTAAATGTATTACAATTGTATTTATAAATTTACTACAACAATGATTTGCATTTTATAGTATTATATCCGATATAAACGTTTTTAATATACTTAAAAATTGTATATAAATACCTGTATAATACTATTTAATCATCGATGAATCTATTTTATACATTTTTTTTTTTAAACACTTCTCATTCTGAAATCCTGCACAAGGGTCTGTATTATAGTGGACATACTATCTAAAAAATGATCCACAAGTAAAAACTTCTTGGTATCCAGTAGGCCACCATATTTCTCACTGTTTGGTAGATCACATATTGAACAATTACCATAATTGAAATTACAATTAATAACGAATATCAGTTATCACTGATTATAATTTGATAATAAAAGTACCTCAATTAAAATGGCCACTGATTTCGTTGCCGCCGTATTGTGTCCACCCCCTGATATAATACGATTTATAAGATTCACAATAAGACCACAGATTATCACAGATATCTATATTATACTAGATGACGAACTTCCGATATCACTTGAAGCACGCATTGATTATGTTATAATTTGTCCGCCATGTTTTGGGTTGGCAAAATATTATATCAACACTATTCCCCACATATCACAATATTAACTATACACTATTTAGTAACTAATATTTATTAAATATGCCTGTTTCTTGTGATGCATACGGTTGTTCAAATCGCTTTAAAGGTAATTCTTCAATTCACTTTTTTCGGTTCGTATGAAGTATAGACAATATGATTTAAAAACACCTCAACATTTACATTTTTAATTGTAACGTATATTCTGTACACTCTCTGTATTTGTATATTCTCAATTAGCTGAAACATTCCAGCCTCATTCGTGCACCGATCCCGAAAACTATACAATTATTGAAATTCAACAATTTCTATCAGCTTCGCTACCTATGTCGCTACCTGCAAAACCCATCTTTCCTGGTGAAATGCAGTATATAATTAAAAAATTACCTCCCGGCAAGGCGCCTGGAAATGACCTCATTACAAACAAAATTCTGAAAAATCTGTCTCTCAAAACTTTATCATTGCTCACTCATATATATAATTCTATGCTCAGATTTTCCCACTTCTCTAAAATCTGGAAATTTGCAGTCATTATACTTGTACACAAACTAAATAAACCTAAATACTTATCTTCGTCATACCGTTCCATAAGTTTACTTCCAGTCCTTGGTAAACTTTTCAAAAAGGCTCTCGTGAAAAGATTACGTCCTATCTTTCAAAACAACCATATCATAGCGAATAATCAGTTTGGTTTTCGAAACAGCCAATCAACAATCCATCAAGTTCATCGTCTTACTGATGAAACCTCAACTGCTCTCGAAAATAAAGAATACTGTTCCGGACTTTTTTTAGATATTGTTCAAGAATTCGATAAAGTCTGGCACGATGGCTTACTATACAAATTAAAACTTTTCATGCCAGCTCCCTACTATCTTATTATCAAATCTTACCTACAAAATCGTTCGTTTGTCGTACGACAGGGGAATGATATTTCATCTACTCACCCAATATATGCTAGAGTTCCACAGGGTAGTGATCTGTTCCCTGATCTATATAATGTATTCACAACAGACATCCCTCAATCTAATAACACCCTTTTAGCAACATACGCTGATGACATAGCTATTCTTTCCTCCAGTCCAAATCCTATCTTAGCTTCAGCTGAACTCCAGGATAATAATATAGATAATATATAATATAGATTATAAGATTGTTTTATCCCAACCTATGTTTAGTGATGGTCAAATTTATGTTACCAAGTCCAGAGTTAGATCTTTTGAAAAGTTAAAAATACAAATAATACGAAACAACAAAAATAATACAATGAATATAGCTTATAAAGAAATTCTATAATATTATTATTATAGTATATTTTATTTTATAATAATAATACACGAATTCATTGAAATTCATTTGTTTATCAATTTTTTTGTGTTGGGTGAAATATATAGTTTTCCCGTGTATAAATTTCTTGCGTACATAATATTTATAAATATAATTACAATTTAAGAAATTTAATTATTTTCTATTTTATGTTTTTTCTATACATATTTTGTACATTATTATAACGATGTTATACATCTTTTATATTTATTTATATACATGAAGTTATTCAACTATTTGATTTTTTTTGCTGTAACCCGGTAGCGATAGATAATTCAGCTAGTATATAAATAATTAATGTACCTATGTACTATCTATAATTTAACAGATCATAATTTCAGGTAACCGTAGAGAAATATTTCTTTGTACTCGAATTTAATCTATCCGGTAAAGTTTTCTGCCATTTTATCGATTTAACTGTTGTTTTTTCAGGATTCATATTATAAATATTAACCAAAATGTTACAAACGATATTTAAATTATTTAAGTACTTATCTATTATTTCTGAAGAGTAATATTTTGATTTAATCATACTACTGTATTGCTGTGAATTTTCTTGCATTAAAATTAGAATTCCAATAGTGTTTTCTGGTAAATTAAAGTTTTCAGCACTGCCAATGGCTTTTATAGGGGGTAAAAGATACTTAGGAAAACTTATCGTTTGCATTTGTTTGATGTATGTAATACATTTTTTATCATTATCTTCAACATATTTGTCTTTTAAAAAATAATTCAAAATATTGTCTAAAGCGTCAAACACTATTAAGAGATTCCATTGATGGAATATATTATAAAATTTTGTAAACAAAGAAAATTCAAATATGTTTGCTGTTAAATCATTGGAGATTTCATTAATGGTTCTTAATTCTCCTTTCCAATAAAACGTAACCGATTGTACGTCATATACATTTTGAAATTCTTCAATATACATATTAATCTTTTGTCTAATTGATTCTTCATCTGATGTTATTTCATTTTTGAAATATCCTCCATTCATATTGAAATCATACGTTAGTTCTTCTACAGGGTTTTGATTTTTATTATATGAAATGTAAAGAGTTTCACGGTATTGTGGATTTTTACAATTATAAATTTGAATTTTATCAAATAAAACCAAAATATAATATATTATCCTATCAAATTGTTCTAAATCTGTAGAAAAGTGTATCATATTATTGACCAAGTAATTAATAGCCGTTTTTAAAATTAATTTCATATCTTTTTGTAATTCATTTTCATGATTATTGAATATTCCTCGGAGTTTATTTAAAACTAAAAAATATGATTCTTTCAAATTATTTATTTTCTGTAGTGAATTGCGTACCGCATATTTTGATTGTATATAAAAGCAATAATTATAAAATGAAACCACCTCATCGCATATTAAATTTGAAGTTGTGTCAAATTCGATTGTATTTAAATTTATTTCATATGAATTGTACTTTGCAGGATTATTTTGAAATAATACGAGAATTTCATTAAAGTTCTTAAGCTCATCTATTGACAGTAACATTTTTAGATATTTATTAAAACTATACCCTGATACATTATTCATTGCCAATAATATTTCTGGATGTTCTTTGTTTTTAAGAGCATATAGATTTTCATATACTTGTATTTTTATAATGTTTAAATCAAGAACATTATTCTGAGCTAATATGTCTCGTATTATTTTTGCAAGTAACTCAATTTGATTAATGAAATGTAATGGACATTTCATAAAGATTGCTTGTCCAATTAACTGTTGGTACTCAAGTAATATATCTTTCTTATTAATCCAGTCATCTGATAGCATTTGCATATGTTTTTCATTTTCTTCTTTACTATATAGCTCAAATAACACTAGAGTTTGTAAAATTATTTCATATAAAATGTTTGTTATTGAATTATTTATAAAGTCCATATATATTAAAATATTTTCAATTTTATTTAATGTCTTAATTTTTGTTTCTAATTCATCTGATATAAGTAATAGAGGCTTTAATTTTTCAACTAATTGAATATTTATTATATTAAAACTGTCTATTTGTGATATTTTATTATTTGGGATGAATTCTATCATATAGGTCGTCGATAAACCAACGTTATCAAGTAAATCATTTATTCTATCGATTATAGATTGGCCATCAGTCTCCTTCGACGTAAATGAGTTCATATTCTGTAAAGAACAATTTGAAATTAAGTACTGTTCAATTGAATTCATCATTTGAAATATTTTTCGTTGAAATAAATTGATGTTATTGTCTCTAATTAAATCGGCTAGTTGTAAATTCAATGAAAGTGATGTTGTTAAAAAACCTAGTTCGTAAGACATAACATTTGAGGCTATATGTACAAAATTAAATAGTACGGAGATAGTTTTTAGTACTATCTTGTTAATCTCTCTTAAATTAACAGTAGTGTCTTCAATGTTTATTGATATTTTTAGTAAAGTTTTAATTGAATCACTGAACTTACACCCCAATGAAATATACATAAAATTTGTCATTTTATCCATTTGATTACTTTCAACTACTGGTAGATTTTTTGTAAAATCGATAAACTTCCCTTGAACTCCGTTAACGAATATTTCTTGTTGTGATAAGTTATAGACATTAGGACCTTCAATGTTTTTCCAACTTTTCATCTGAATCATATTTTGAAGTATCCGCATTTTATTTCTAGCAGTGAGCGTATTTATAGCACCCGATTGTATTACTCGTATTATAAGCAACGGAATTAAAACGAAATTATTACGATTGCAAATCATCTTAAATAAAATGAAATGATCTGAAAAAAATTAAATAATCACTAATTAATAGTTTGTTTTAAACTTATAAAAAAAGTGTGATTTTATGTTTGATAAATTATTTAATAAAATATTGAGATAAATAAATCTTCTTTATTCTTTTATTTCAGTATGTTAGTTGTAACTAAAGGACGAAACCAATATTTAGCAAATAAAAATAAAAAATTCATTACATATAATATTTTCAATTGATCATGATTTCTTTAAACTAAACTATTATGTTATTTTTAATTTATTTCAAGATGGAGAATTTTACTTCATTTCAGCATACTTAATTTTATATTCAGAGTAATTTAAAATATTTACTAATAATTTTTACTTCATCAAACAATTACAAAATTAATAATATTATTATTTTTTATTTTATATTTAAAATGGCTAAAAATAATTGTTTAAAAACATATTGCATTTGATAATTTTGATTTTATTTCGCTAATACTTGACACACTTTTTGAAAGATCCAACATAAAACTCAATATTATCAATAAAAAAACTTAAAAAAAAACTGTAAACCTACAGTAGTTTATTTAGTTAATTATGTTTGCGTAGTTGGTTGTAAATTATAACATAATATAATGATGTATTATTTTAATGCAGCTTAAAAGAAATAGAATATAAGACTAGAAAACTAATTGAAAAGTTTTTACTGATATGTTAAAATATTTTACAAATGTTCAAAAATTACTAAAAATAATTATTAATATTTATTAATATATAGTCAATGCATCCATACGTGTAAGAGTTAAAAGTGAACACGTGTATTTTCTTAGTGTATAGTATTCTTAATTAACTTTTAATGATTTTGTTATCATTATATTTTTATATACGAGTATGTAACTTTATCATGGTAGTTACCATAATACACATAAATATAGAATTTTCTATTTGGTAACTATATGTGTGATGATAATTATAACTGAAGTAATATGTTTTTTAGTCTCGTAATTTAAATAAATTCAGAACTTAATTCAATAAATTTGCTCAGCTTTTAGTTATAATATGATCATATTTTTTATTTTTTTTTGTTTATGAGCTTTTATAACAATATGTTATTATCGACAGACTGTCAGAGTTTGGTAAGCACAAATAATAATGATGAATGAAAAATAAAAGTATGAATAACTGATTATTTTAGGAATAAATAATAATATTTTATTTTAAATGGTTTTAATTGTAAATAAAGTATAAAAATTATTCTGAATAGTTCAACAATAAGTTGTGAAGGATTTGATTATTCTGCATAAATAAATAAAGTAAAATATGAAAAATATTCAAAATTATTCAAAATTAAGCCCTATATGCGAGTAGCAGGTTGATAGCGAGAGATAAATCAGTTTGATTAGCCCATTATGTATATAATATAATTTATGTCACTTATTTTGACATTGCGATAGCAGGTAATCTATATAAATAATAACCGAATACCATTCATTTACTGATCATTGCTACATTTCAAAAATGGTGGATCGTATGAACATGAAATTAGTAAGTGGTTTTACTAATATTCTAAATATATATGAAGAAAATATTTTTTAAGATTCAATCTTTAAGGTAGTAAAAAGGGGTAAAAGTGAAAATTGGTAAATATGAAAAAAATCGTCTAGCCGGAAATGCTATTGATTATGAAATTTGGCGAGATATTATTTTTTATAATGTAGAAACTACACAAAAAAGGATTTTTCAAAATTAAATTATTAAGGGGGTAAAAGGAGGTAAAAACGAAAAATGGTAAATATTAAAGAAATTGTCTAGCCGAAAAAGCTAAAGCCGATTAATTTGAAATTTGTTTTATTTGCTTATAACCAACCGTTACACTATATTAGGCTTAAAATAGTGTAAGATACATAATAATTCATTTAACATTATGTCCCAGTCAAGCCGAATAATTCTGCTAGTATATTTTAACACGAAGTACACAGATTTCAATTTTCGATAAAGTTGGAATTTCAAATTATCTACCAATGATTTGCGATAAACACGATTATATGAATGAACAATGAATAATTTAATAATGAATAAACAATTAATGGATAAAAATTCTAGAATAACCCTAGAATAATGAATAACAATTTTTTATTAAAATAATTAATCGAATGATATTTTGTTCGACCATTATTCAATACTGAATAATGCTTAACAGTTAAGCTTTAAAAAATAAAATGTACACATTATCTGCAAATTATATAATGAAAATAATTAGTATCTAAAACTTTAATTATATAATAAAAAGCTTATACAATTAATCAAAATTGATTGATATAATTAATGTGATTATGTATTTAGGTATAATAAAAATAAATGATAAAATTGAGAAAGATAATATTATGAAATATAAAAACCTTTATGTAATATATTTTTAAAAAGAGAAATCAATGGGCTCATTAAAGAATTTAAATTCGATATAAATTGCGATAGCATTGTTGACATATTTACCAAAGGAAGTACTAGGAACAAGGAACAAGGAAGTATTAAATTTAATACAGGAACCAAGGAAAATTATCAAAATTATGGAAACAAGGAGAATCAAGTTTTTGGACATAATACGTTTATTATAAATATTATGGAGGGGAAAATAAATGGATAAAGAGGAAGAGGATGACCAAAAGATACAAATGTAGGAAATACAAAGAAGTTATTATTATCCTTACTAACCAACCTACGAAGCAATGAAAAGATTAGCAGGAAAAAGAGAAGAAATGTTGAAGAAAGAGAAGAAGAATGGTTGCATGGTTGCAGTGTCAAGGCAAAGCCTTTAGATAAAAAAAAAAAAAATCAAAATCAACATATATAGAAATACATGTGTATATACTGTATAATTTTGGTGAATTCAATGGAAATCCAGATGTAGTCCGACCATTTCTGTTGGCCGAATTTTGTCCCCGATAAACGGTCGAAGAACCAGACTGTTCGCAAAATACTCGGCTGATGCCGGATCTAGTCTGACCGTCGACTTCGTGTGTAAATCTATAGATTTTAAATTTTCTCAATACAGAAAAAAAATTTAAGGGCCCAATTTTTTCAATGGCTTTTATCGATGCTTAATTTGCTTATAGGTTAATTAGGCACTACCAACAGAATGTTTTTAGTCAGTATTAATAATCTTAAAATAGTAAAAAAGTGATTTACTTCATTATTATTAGATGTTTGCTTTTTTAAATTTTTTTTCTATGCTAATGGTTTCATGGTAAATTAAAATAATTAACTAAAATACCATGATTATGGAATGAAAATATATAAATTAAAATGTTAGTAATCTTAAAACTTCACCACTTTTGTTAGTTATTAGCGATTTTTAATCATATTTATACAATCAAAATGTTTATTTACTTACTTGTGAAAAAAAAATTTAACATGTTAGACCATACGAACAAGTCATTACTGAAGTATTATATTATATGTTATAATATATTAAAATTTCCAATAATGTTTAAAAAGTTAATAAGTTACAGAATTGCAATACTAACGTTTACGTGGAGTATTTAAAATTGAACACATATTTGTTTCTTATTGGGCAACATTTTTTTTTATTAGATTGTAGTATTTTTACTACCATGATATTTTTTTTATTGGTAAAGTGTATATGATTAAAGTCGTCCTAAAAAGCAGATACATTTTTAAAAAAAATCATCAGTCATACCACGAATAAAACATTTTGTATTTGTTTTAGATTTTTGAAATGTGTCTCGGTCTTAAAGTGTTTTATTTGTTTAGAATAAAATAAATTAGGTAAAAACTTGATAAAATTAATTAATTTATGATCTTATTTAAGCGTTGACATTTTTTGTGGTTAGACCGATAGTGGTGGGAAAACACTAGTGAACGGTCGTTGGTTGGTGTATGAGCAATAGGTTTTACCCGTTTGGCCGTTTAGCGGGTCACGATATTTTACAATTTATTAGTATAACATTAACGAAAAGGAAACTGCTCTGCGTGGATTAAAGAATTTATTTTCAAGAAGATTTCAATACTTTTTATGAAGAAACATTAAATGACGATGTCTAAATGGATAAAGTTTATATTTTTATTTAGATAAAATATCAGTTAATTAATTTTTTTATCTAGATAAATCTTAACGCTGAATAAGGGTATATACGAGTAATCAAATAGGGCGCCCGGGAATTAGGCCATTATTAACCTTTTTTCAAAAAAATATACGGTAATTGGGCACTATTAAATTAATATGTCATTTATATATATATATATATATGTCATATATTGCTACAATACTTAACAGTGCATACGAAACTTTAATCGAAGCGACCGTGTGTCTTATCAAAATGTAATAAAATGATATAGAATTATCAAGGGCTGCCATAGTCTCATCAAATTAAATGGATGAAAATAGTTAAAAATGTAATTTATAAAGATTATAGAACGTCGCGATCGTTTAATTGATTGAAAACTATACGATCCACGTTTAGTAATATCATTGATTATAAATACTAGTATTTATAATCAATGGTAATATATACTGGTTCGATAATATACGTGTAAAATGGAATTATTGGAATTTATAACGATGGAAATGGGAAAAAAGTTATTAATTAATTATTAATTAATTAATTTTAAACCACGAGAGTCAATGTGGCAAAATTTGTTGACGATGTTTTTTATATTGTTATATTATTGGTATTATACTTTTTATATTATATTCAATTTATGAATCCTGCGTTATATAATTATTGTATTTTATGCATTATAAAAATAATTATTAGTTAATAAACGTTGTATATTCGTAAATTTTTATGCTGTTCATTTATGGCGCAATCTCCGGGTAGTAAAATATAAAAAAATATTTTATACAAAGCATATACATAAAATATGGCCCAATTACCGACCTCCCAAATACTTGAATAATGTCACTAAAAATTTCCTTCGATAATAATTATGAATTATTTATCACATTTAGTTATAGCATTTATGTAACCATATTTATTGTTTATTTTAAATGATCAAAATTATAAACACATTTATAATAGATAAGAAAAAAATATAAATATTGCCGAAATAAATAAATAATAATTATTTAATTTTTGAATTTTTGAGGATGAGTTGGTGTTTTCTTTCAAGCGTGGGGTAGTAAACGTATTGTTGGATGATTATTTCATCTCCACTTTATGATTATAGTATTTTGTGAACAAGGTTTAGTAGTCCATATTTTATGAAGTAAAGGTTATAATACAATAAGTTTAGTATAGTAATAATAGTTTTCATGAGTTAGCTGATGCAAAAATATCAAGTATGTCCACAATAATTGAAAATATCGAACGGAATGGTTTTACATGATTTATAGCTTTGTGCGGCTCTTGATGTATTTACTTGGTGGATATTAAGAATCAGGGTGTAAGTATTTTTTTAAAAATTGTTTGGATTGACAGTGTTTTGATGTTGGCTGGACTAGAATTATTTCGTACAACTAGTGATTATTTTTCTTTTGTATGCTAAGGAAATGAAAGGATTGGATACTTATACTATTGAACAGTAGGTACAAGTATAACATAGTGTTCGTATGAATATAATATACGTAAGTATCAATGAGAAAAAAAAATACGAAGTAACAGAGTAAAATCATCTGAATACTTTATTATAAATAATTATTAAATAGAAATTACAAAACTGTTAGTCATCTTAGTGTAATAAAATATTTTACCAATTTTGTATAATACAATTGGAAAATTATAATCAAAACACTTTGAAACTTAATTGATCATGTATATATTATTTTTGTTTTCTAATATAATAATACAACTTATTATTTATTTATTATAATTTTATAAACAAATCTTATTTCAAATAATGGGAAGTCAGAAGCAATATCAAAATATGATTATTGTGCGAACGTGTATGCATTATATGTCAATATAATTATATCATCCAATTAAAATCATAAAACGTAGTCACATCTTAATTAATATTTTGAAGCATTCGTCATTAATTGCCGTATACTATATTTATATAAATAATGCAGAATGCATTTTAGAAGTTGAAATTTACGACGGACTCACATTTTTTTCTTTTTTTAATATTCTACCAGTAAGATATGTAATATTTATTTAAACCATATGATTTAAAATAGCTATTATTCTAGAATACATACTTTCCTATAATCTGAAACTATTAAAATTATTAAAAGAAATATTTTTTCAATTCAATTTTCAATAAAATTTTAAGGTTGATACTTCTAAATGAAATATAATTTTATATAAAAAATAAACTCACTTTCAATGGGTAAATTGCTTCTGACCTGTGACTTATTCAAATGATAGTTAATTTTCAAGTTTTAAAATTAATGCTAATCTAATACACAAGTATAATTGTTTAAATTTTATTACACGTAAAATTTGCGAAAAAAATGTAAAATTTACTTTCTTAATACAACCATAGTAACAATAAGCTATGAAACTTTTTTAATGACGTGTACTAACTATTTTTCTAAATAATTTCGTACAATTTATGGAAAAAATATTTTATCACCCTTATTCAAAATTTGAATAGTCAAAATTTGATAATAATCTACGTACAATCAGTTTTTTTTTTTTTACAACATCGATCGATGAACAACTTAATATTATTATTAATAATAATTCTAATTATAATAATATTTAAACAAAATGTGATTATTATTGATATAATTATCATAAACTATTATTAAATTTATTGTAATTAATATACAAGGAAAAAATATATAAGCTAATTGCAATTTATTTGCATCTAAATCTACTTGATACCCGATACTCCGAACTGTATGAACGACCATGTCATGTTCATCAATATAAAAATCACTAAATCAACAAAACAGTAACAAACCGATAGATCGTCAAATAGCTTAAGATCTAATTGTGTGTATCTGGTGGCTGAAGGTTGTGAATACAATTTTTTAAATAATATGAATACAAAATATGGCGGACACAACGTTTGGATATGTGAGTATTATAATATAGCATAATGATATGGTTGAAAACAATTACAGAAGAGTCGGTGTGGAAGATTAAGGATCACACGTACAAACATACATTTACATACATACATACATACATACACACACACACACACACACACACACACACACACACATACTTGCGCGATAACGCACGCGCGAACATAAAACATAAAAAATAAAACATAATAAATATACGAATACATTATACAAAATTTGTGAGAATTTATTTATATGCATAAGAAAAAAAAATATACGGTTTTTAGAAGAAATCCAGTGGATTAAGCTTTTACCAATATTTAATATATCATAAAATATTTGATATATTTATACCTTAATCTATAAATATTAAAGGAACAAAACAGAAATGCACCTTTTAATATGTAATCCCTACGCATATTAACGAGTAATACGTACACAGATAAACTAAAAGTCTTATTCGTAGACACATTTAAACCTGGGCTCAGTATGATTTGAACCGTGCTGAGACCTGGCTTAAACGAATAGTTAAACATATTTATGAATAAAGACTGTGTATCCTTAAAATATAATGTAGGTAAAAAATACAATATTTCATAGCGTAGATATAATACAATCATATTTCGATTATATAACGTTACACTATGTATTTTTTATGTAGGTGTTTAGTTCGTAGTGTTTGTGAGAACGAGTCAAAGAATTACATCAAAGATTAAAAAACATTTGCTCAAGTATTTGTGGTAAGGTTCAGATATTTTAATAGTACTTTTTAGTTATATCTACGAAGATAAAAGCATATTCGTATTTATAAGTGATCATACTGTATACTAATATATAAATAAATAAAAGCTTATTCTGGAGTATTATTATATTTGTAAAGTACGACCGGTTTCGTATTAAAATTTCATCATCATGTAGATAAATACAAATTTATTAAAATTGCAACTGAATATGAAAAAATAAAATCGCAACTCCTATTTTATAATATATATTATCATATTTTGTTATATATAATTCTTATACTATTCAGTCGCAAATTGATTAATTTTGTATTTATTTGTATTAAATTATACTTGATGAATTTTTTATTCGAAACCAGTCATATTTCAAACATTTTATAATACTTCACGTTAAGCTTTTATTTATTTATATATTAATTTAACGTGTATCAATCAATTATTAATTTCTAATTTTTATTTTATTATTTTATTAATGAATATTAAATGTGTTTTATGTTAAACTGTTTCGGTTTTATTTTTTCCTAGGAAATGTAGGTCTTAAAATACTGTTTATAGTTAAAAATGTTTTTAATAAATATTATATGTATTATGTAAGTAGGTTAGTCATATATTTTTGGTTTGAACATATATTTATTTTGTATTGATAGGCTTAAAATCAAATTCAATTTTATGTTAGCATTATTTAATTACCCACGAAATAAACTAATTGTATTTTTTATTGATACAACGTGTAATATTTTTACAGAACTTATACAAGCACGTATAGTCTAAATAATTGTCCATACATAAAAAATGTTGTTAAAATTGCTTGAACGGTTTTAAAAAAATGAATGTAATCAAGTATAAGGGAAAGAAAAAACAATATTTCAAGACCAAATATAATATCTATTTTTACTTAAAATATAGACTTAATAGCTGTGAATAATACTCCAAGACATTTCATAGTTTTTATGAGACTTTAAATGTTATTTTTGTTAAGCTTGAGCTTATACTGGCCTCCATAGCGTGTTATTATGGCTAAGGATTATATATAAGACAAAAAAAAAAAAGAAAGACATCCAGGAGGGCATAAGCGTACTCAAGCGAACGTAAAAACTCGTACAAAATTGTTAGTACGTTTGAAAACGAACAAACAGAAATATATTACAAATACAAAGGACTACCTTAATTTGCAAATTAACTTACACACGTAATGAAACGTTTATTTGCATAACACTACTGTCTAAAAATATTACGTGGTCCCCGATTCTGCTGGCAATACAACATACGTGTTCTAACAACATTTTATAAAATATAAAATGAAAATGTTTTCGAACGCGATTGCAATAATAATGACAGTAATGGTCCCTTAAAACCATCATCATTATCGTGACAATAATGACTGAAAAAACAACAAACTAAAAAAACGCGTAACGTTTAAAAATTAAATTATAATTCAAAACCCATTTAAAATTAGATGATAATATTATTTAATTAATATCTAAGAAAACTACTACCCGAGTGCCGAAAAAGTACCGTAATATGATAAATGGTCTTCAGTCAGTCAACGTAGTAGTAGTTGCACTTAGATTTATGTTATTTTAAGACTTAAACCTAATCCCACTAATATATATATATTATATATTTAATTAATTAGCAACAAATTACAATCAAAATGATCTTTAGAATTTTTTTCCTCAAAACTAAATTGCCTATAAAATGACAAATTGAGGACAAAAATTCTCAAAAATACTCATCTAACTACTATTATATTTACACATAAGTACGTTACCATCGTTCTTGTGAGTTAATTTTATACATTAGTGACTACTGTATAAATAAATTAGTTTTAAGTTTACTTTTGTGTAGTTGATTATTTTTAGTATCTGGAAAATATCCGATTAATAATAAATAGCATAAACTTCATGAGCAGCTTTTAAATATCGTATTTTTTGATTAAACGTACATATGAACTTTAATCCAGAACTAGAAATTGTGTGAGTAGGGATTTATTTTTGTTTTTCGACCAACGGCGGTATTATAATGAAAGTATATGTCACGAAAAAAAAAAAAAATCCTAAAAAAGGTAAATGACACATTGCAGGAAGATTGTGTACAGAAAGGGTAACCAAGTGTCCCGCCGGGGTTGCGAAAGGAAATATTTTTAACGAGTTTTTTGAAACAGAATACAAAAAGTACAAATGTAAACAATACAAAATAACTATTTTCTTCTCCGTATTCGTTTTTTTATAGTACATGTAGGTTTTCACATGACTTTGACTTGGAGTCTCTGGCCCACACTTTGCTCAACAATCCCTTCACCCGGAGGCTGGTTGACGTTCGGGATCCTCGGTATTTTTTGAATGTGGGACCGCAGTTCGCTAAAGGTGACTTGGAGCGTTTGCGCATCGATGAGGACCTGGATACACCATGTTCCGGTGGTTGATCTAACTTCAATCGGATCTGCGTCAATATGCCTACGAGTAATTCATCTACGTTGTAGTTGATGATTACTGACGTTTCGATGAATTTACAGTCGTACCGTGTGGCCATTTGTTTACCAACTGAAAAACGACCAAAAAATGTAATAAATTAGTAAACGGGATATAACGATTTTTTTTTTTAATTATATAAAAAAACAAACCATAAGCTCAAAATTTTTGAATAGTTGGTTAAGGACAAATAAAACTAATGTATTTATATGTAAATTTAGATGTATTAATGATTTAGCATGATTTTATGCCTCCTAATCGAATAACAATATGAAATAATACAATTATAGTGAATATCATTGGGACTTGGTATTTATGCGGGCAAAATCATTTTTTGTTTTAATGTCTTACTGTTAAGAATTGAATAAAACTAATTTACGTAATTATTTATGTAACTGAAACTAACATGTTCAATTTTTAACAAATATAAAATTTGAATATGTTCTAAAATGCATGATTTCTACCATAAACAATAATATTTATCCACCACTCCAAATAATTAAAATAAAGTGTATTATTAATTAAACGTATTTTAATATTTTATATATTTAAAATAGAATCATAACTTTGATAAACAAATTGAAAATTTACAGTTTAAAATACAAATCTAATATAAGTATATAAAAATATAAACAATTTATGAAGGATAACTACAACAAGTAAACAGGTTTAACCAGTGGCGTAATTGAGAATGTTTCATGGGGGGGGGGGGGGATCAAAATAAATTTGTATGGCAAACTTGTGGGGGCAATGCTTGTGAAATTCAGTATAACAATTTAGTCTGATATTTTTTAATAAAAAAATATTAAAAAAAAAAAAACTAAATAAATAAAATAAATAAGTATAAAAATATAATATCTTCAACAATGCTTACTGCTTCTCTTAAATCATTTTTTCTTTTTGTAGCAACTTACACAATGGTAATCCAAAAGAAAAAACCAATTGGAAAAATATTTTATTATAAAATAAAATTAATTATATTTATTAATTACTATTTACTTGTATAACTTGTAAAGATACAATAAATTCTGAATCAATAGTTTTTAATAGTATATTAGCTTACGTTGCAGTGGAATCATTCCAATTAGGAATATTTTCTGTACCTATGATTCAACTACGAATGCAAATAGTTTAATGAAATCTGTTATCGTATCATAATAATGCACCCATCGTGTAGCCCACAATCTTTTTAAAATTTTAACCTTAGAATCCTCATTACTATTTTCAATGTTGGTTAAAAGAACATTTTGACAATTTGATGTAATAAAGAAAACATAGACATTTACGGATAAATATTTACAACCGGGTTTTTTTTTTTTTTAGTTTCGTAATCATTTATAAGTTTATATTTGAGCTATTTGTAGGTTTAAGACAATATACAGTCAACTTGCGATATAACGAATTTCAAGGGACCGAGCAAAAAGTACGTTATATCGAAATTCATTATATCAAAAGCATAAATCAACAAAATTTGTTTAAACGATATTTAAAAGAAAATTTAGATTTTATTAAATTTTTATAATAACATACCGACATATAATATTAGATTATTATTAAATATTTTATAAGATACATTCATACATTTTTGTTTATTACATACATACTTCTTTTTTTTTTTTTTAAAAAATCAGTTTTTTTTTGTGTGTGTGTATCTATTTGTGCTTATACGATTAATGGTGTTTTTCAAATTTAGAATATTACAAAATACACTGTCGTCAATATCATGTCTTTGTAAACAATTTAAGACGGCGCGGCGACCTAATTTTGCTACATTCGAGCTTACGGGGGCTCTTCGTCACCAGTTTTATTCAAAATCTCATCATTATTGAGAACTCCACAGGTAGCCAAATCTTTGTCAATAACAACAAATATTATGTTTATATTTAATTCAATTTACATTTAACAGACGTGTATCATATAAACGATACATGAACATCTTATCACATAATAATAGCCGAAACAAACTTGTAAGACGTGGTGTATCATTCTCCAAAATTGTAAAAATTCGTTACATTGTGTGAACTTTGACCAAAAAATCTTCGTTATATCGAGGGGACCAAAATATATTTAATTTTTCGTTATATCACGAGATATTCAAGGGTCTGACAGTTTTATTCGTTATATCGAGGTTTTCGTTATATCGAACTTATACCGCGAGTTGACTGTATAAATACAGCTCATGGGGGGGATCTACCCCCCATATCCCCCCCGTAATTACGCTCCTGGGTTTAACGGTTGTCAATGTCTTATGAACATTTTTTCTTCTTGAAATGCTTAGAATTATAGCAAAAAAATATTTATAAATGAGAATCATAAATTACAATTTTAAAATTAAATATAATACGATTATTATAATATAATATTTATTATATATGTATACAATTTTTCTTAATATTAAAATGTATAACATTATATTAAATGTTTATTTAAGTTTATGTTCATAATAGATGGATCAACAACTAATATAACATTTTTGGTAAATTTGTACTTTACCTCCTGAAGGTACGATATTAGGTCTTACAATATCGTTTTTGTTACCGACCAATATTACAGCTTTATTTCTGACTACGTCAGCTTTCCAAAGGGCCTGCAACCATTCTTCTGCTTGTTTGAAGCTGTCCCAATCATTTCTTGAGTAGATAATACAATATGCGTGCGGAGACTCTTCAAATACGTCGTTACAATCGGCTGGCTACAATAATATTATCACGTTCAGTAAATTATGATTTAATAGTATTTTATATAATTTTTTATACATATAATAAAAATAATTTGAAAATTTTTACAATATTTTTGTACATTTTGTTAAGAAAAACGTATTTAAATATTTATTTTGAAGAAATTAAATGGGTTAGTTGCATTTATTTGAAGCTAAAAATTTACATATTAGATTAATCACTGATGTAAATTAAATAATTAAGTTTATTATAAAACAAAAAACAATTTTTCAATTGAAATATGGAATATTTTTGATTCCCTTATAGAATATTATTTCAGAACTAATTTTGCTGTAAAAGATTGATTGAATAGAATAAATAATAAAATAAAATAAAATAATGATGATGAATAATTACAAGATTTTAATTAGTATTAAATAAAATATTGTTTGGTGGCAAAAATTAATTAAATTTTTTATTAATTAATAAACTACATTTAATTCATAAGATTTTTTTAATTTAATAATTTTTATTTGAAACAATTAACAGTTTTTATTGCTAAATTATAATTTTTGGATTCTCTTTTTAATAATACTTAATTAATTTCAGATCGTATGATTTAAAAATATAAATTTATTTGATTACTATAGGGAATTCACTGTCATCTAAAAATAGATTTTTGCGTAGGAATTTATCAATTTATAAATTTATAATCTTTAAAAAACTGTGATTTTATAAATATTGTAACTCGATAACATAAATATAAATAAAGAGTGCAGTTATATTAATTATGTTACGAATTATTTTGAAGCCAAGCATAAAAATACCCTCCCAAAGTAAATAATTTATTTAAGTAAATAGATGGCGCTACAAATATCACTTATTAAATGTTATTTTTATTTTTAACTTGCCAAAGTATTCGTCGATGTCTCTTTTATACTTCAAAAATATTTATTACGATACTAAACGAGCACTCAATATTTTATTGCAAGCAAATAAAAATTTTAACTATGCATTATGTCATAAATTTAATATTATAAAATTCACAAATTTTCCTTTTATTAAAAGAAAAATCTAAAATTTGAATTGACTATTTCATACTGTACTAAAAGGATACGTACCTACATTTAAAACAACAGGATTATTTTAGATTTTTTCTTAAAAAATATAAGTAGTTATTTTTTATTTCAACTTTTTTTTGGATTAACATTATTATAAATATTATTGTATTTTAATAATTTAGTTTGTGATAAAAGATTCTATGATATTATTTTTAAACAATGTATGTACTTTTCATAATCAAATAAAATTGTTTTTATTTTTTACTGCATTATTAAAATGAGTGTTTTAATTTATAATGTTATATTAATGAATATGAAGCAAAATTATGATAAATAGATTAAACAAATATGTTATAAGAATGTTCGTTGAAAAATGATAATATCTACAATTATAATATTACATATTTGTAATGTTCGCTTCTGCAAAAAATAAATGTATTCATTCATTTATATTTATAAAAAAAATTGTGAATTGAATAAGAAAAATTTGATTTACTATACATTCTTACCCATTGACCATTATAATAATATTATTATTATAATTATTACTTTATTATTGATATAAATTATCATTTATATGCACGAAATAAATAAATATTTTTGATGATTTGTATAGTTCTTCAAGTTTAACTTAATAAAATTACAATTTTAATTTATTATATATTCGTATAGTATTGAATTTGGATGCTAAGTTAATATAACTGATAGTTGAAAAACATCCATAAATTATTTCTTGTTATGAATTCCCTTTATTATTCAAAATGAAGAACACCGACTTTAAAACTTCCAAGTAATTATATTTCAGTCGCCATTTTGGTGGCTAAGCTAGTAAAATTGAATTAAAAGTTGAGTTTCTATTAATTTGGGATATAAAAATAAAGGAAGTATTAGATAAATCAAATAAAAAAAAATCTGAGTTGCATTGGAAAGAGTTGGAGCTATTTATTATTGTTGTGCAAAGAAAGTGAAATTAAATTAGTTTTGAGCATTAATTGTACAGTTATAGCTGTTTTGGTTTACTCATATATTATTTTAGTGTAGCATACGCATAATTTAAGAAGTGCCATACATATAATTATTATACTATTATTTATCAGGATGAAAGTGATATGATTTTGCTTTACAATTTTATTTGTTTTATGCTGAGTTGTAAAAATATTTATACATTTTTGTGCACAAATTCCTTGTATTGTTGTCAGACTAAGTTATACCCAAATAAGATAGGTAGACAATATTATAATTTTTATGTACAAATACATTATATTTATTTTTAAATTGATCATTGACTTTTTTTTTTTAATTTTTCAAAACTTACGAAGGAATACATTTTAGCTCTTTAAAAAATTGAAACACTTTTTTTTTCCGATTTATTTTTAAAGTAATTTGGCATTGCAAATGGGTGACTATAATTTATACCATGGGGATATTTTGATTCTTTAATAAGCTGTATTTCCTTTTAATTTTTAGTTGAAACTATAATCATAAGTTAAGAGGATTGTAAACTTATTATAAAATCTTTATTACTATTCATTTAACTAAATTGTAATTTAAAACGAAATATATAAATAAAAAATGTGAAAATTGTACTTAGGTATTTAAAATTATAATTTCTTGAATCAATTTTGTTTAAAACTATGTGTATTTTTATGAATGGAGTTTATAATGTACTTGTATTATTCAAAACATGTATCCAAATTTATCCGGGTAGGATAAAATACAGTTTACTATTGCGATTTGATGTTAGGCATCATTAATTGATAAGCTATAGATTTTATTGAAATAATTCTAGTGTTATAATTTTATTCCCTTCTGAGGTAACAAGGGCTTTTGTGTAAACTGCATTATCCGTGATATCAATCACGCGATGTGACTGCCTTTGACGTTACCACACATTTTTATTGAAATACGAGGGTACCCCTGGTGTTATTGATTTTCGAAATTGTAGCAACCTTTCTACTAAAGTAGTTTTTGAAGCTTTTATATTATATTTATAAAGAATACTTTATGCATAAACATTTAAGTTAATTAAAAATAGTTCATTTAACATACCCTTAAAATAATTGGTAGCATAAATGTTAATCCTATTTAAATCACTAGTTAGTTAGCTTTATTATTGTTAAGTATGTAAGGTGGCATATTATGTACAAGTATATGCGTGTATATTTATTTTCTATAATAATCTATATATTATTTTAAAACTGAATGACATAAAATATATTTAGAGTATACAAGTATTGTCGTGTAGGTTCTTCAATTATGGTAAAAGCGGATTCATTAAGGCCTTCTGATATTTGTCGTATAAAAATAACCAAGTAATATTTCACAATAACTTTATGTAATTTTATATATTTTTTCAACTTTATTATATTGTTATTTATCGTATTGCTTTTATTAATTCAATCATATATCTATTCATATTTTGTTAAATATATATATATATATATATATATAGTTAAAAGTAATAATATTTTGGTTGTTGTATTATACATTCTCATTTAATTACATTAACATATTTTGATCAATAAGATTTTAAAAGACGGCAAAAATTATTACAATTAAATAATAATTTTCATAGTAACTAACCTATTTGATTTGATTTTAATTTAAATGGATAATGTCCTCTTTCGATTAAATAATTAGATATTAATTCAAAGTTTGTTGACGTAAATGGGTCGATTTCGAGATCATTAAATCAATTGCGTCCAACATAAATAATACAGGAATAATAATAGTTATTTGATCACGAGGATGAAATTATTTTTTGATTTTGTTCGGTGTACAGAACTGTTGATGAAATATTGACTTAAAAAACCTGGGTAGCTGAAAGTTTATGCAAAAAGTATAAATCGAGTCGTAACCTTTGTTATTTTAGTATTTCGAGATTAAGGGAAATCGGTGGTCTTATGTAAGGTGAGTTAATATTTCTATGAATAATACATTTAAAAGATAAGAAAGGTAAGAATTCTTGTTAAATGTTTATTCATAATAGATTTTAAATGTTGTTATACAGACCAGATTATAATTGACCCATATTCCAAGCGTGAACTGAGGAATAATAAATACATATATTAGCTACTTTTGATAGAAAGAGCATGTGATTTTTGATTAGTAAAACGTAATATATATTTCTGATTGTCCGATTTTAATGCAAAACATGTAAAAGATGAATACCGGTTGGATTAGATTTTCTATGCAAATTTTAGACATCATGATCAAATACGATTTATTGAAATTAAAATGATTGCAATGGGTTACAAAGCATCGTATCGATTTCAAACAAATATTAACAAATGCATGTCTGATTGGCTACTAGAATAATTATATTAGTTTAATTTTATCAATAACATTTGAAATTGAAATTGAGAAGTGAGTACTATATATAATAAATACAATTAGTAGTAATGAATGAACTTGTGGCATACTGGGTTGGACAAATATTAACAGATCAATATTATTTATAATCTGTGAACGGTATGTAATGAAAAGTAAATAAAGAAAGAATTAGATTACAGATATTAGATATTCTTAATTTACGGGTTATAATTTGATATGATTTATTTTATCAAACGCTGTATGTATTATGTCTGGTTTGAGTGAATTTGTTTTACCATAAAAATGTAAGTGTGTTGAGAACTAAGTAAACTGGTAAATACATAGTATTCGAAAATAAATGATTGTAATTTGAAGCATAGGCGCAACTAGAGGAGGCTTGCGTGAGCTTAGCCCACCCAGTTTTATCCGTAGTCCATTCAGTTTCACTACAGAATAAAACATCAACTCTTGGTTTTTCTAAAAATATAATTTTTGGTGTGATTAAAAGATTTGAAACTTTAAGATCTGAAAATAAATTTAAGAAAATATGGGAACAAATAAAAATATTTGCTGAAGAAAATGACATATGGTTACAAACTCTATTAACTCGTGTATATATTTTGTGATTTTGATAATTTGTTTTATGTTTTTAACCGAAATAATATATTAAAAATATAGAATCAAAGCATTGCAGAAGAGAGTCAACTAATCTTCATGACTATGTATATACAGCTACCATGGCAGCAGAAAATGATTCATATTAGTCATTAGCAAATTATGTAGAAAATTATTGGAAAACTTCTACATAATTTGTTATTATGGACAGTGTTATTTCCAATCTTAAATATAGGTTTTCTGATGAAAGCTTGGCTATGGACAGTTCGGTTGTAGTTAATTTTGTAAATTAGATACAACCAATTCAATGAAGTTCATTGATCATTATAAGGTAATTTGGTAATATGTACATAAATACATTTTAATTGTATAAGAGTTTAATGATAACTAATTAATTAATTATAATAATTATAATTATAGGAATTACTATATATTTGAAAGTGTAGCTTAGAAGCAGAAATTAGAGTGGCATTTAATCTTTAAATAGTAAAAAAAAAAGATTTCAAAATAAATGATGTCAAAGAAGTCGAAAAACAAATATTTTCATACATTTCTAAACTTTTACAATTGGCTTTATATATTCCTATAAGTTCAGCTACCCGTGAAAGGTCATTCTCTTTAATGAGACGAATATAATATTGGCTTAGATCTTCCATGGCCCAAGATCGATTTACAAATTTATCTATTAACTTTGAAATAAACTATTAATGATTATATGTAAGGTCGTAAGGACTTCTAATTAATATAAATACAAATGTTAGTGTTGACAATCAATATTGGTGGTGTGGGGACGAAGCCCCCCACGGGTCGCTGGTATCATTAAAATTTAGCCCACCCAGAAGTTGAACTCTAGTTGCGCCTATGATTTGTATTGAGTTAGAGTCGAGTTTAAAATATATACTGAAATATATAATATTGCATATTACATTTATCTAACTGTGTAATTCTTTATATTTTGAATAATGTTCATACTCAATTTATTAAATATCCAAATTACCGTGAAATTATTAATGGTTATCGAATATACGTATTTTGATTAATTGCATTAAATAATTGAACTGATTTTACTGTGCTCTGTAAAATGCGCGTGTATACAACTTTTAGTACAAACAATGGAGCTTTCATTTTTATTGAGCCAAGCAGTTAATGAATCATTAAAATATTTTACTCTCCAATTATAAAGTTTTTGAATTTGAAAAACTGTTTTATTTATAACCCGTGAGGTAAATATATAGGTAAAATTATTAGATAGATATAAGGAGTAAATTAATATGAAATTTATAATTATAGAATATGCATCGATAGTAATCAAAATTATAATTTTAGAAGTGCGATCATGTTTTGGCATTTTATTTGTATTGTTCCAGATTTAAATAGGGTTTGAAATTTACGTTTTATTAAGATTTATTTTGGTTTTAACGTAATGATAATCAAATTTAAAACAGTTCAGTTCATCATCTGAGTAATAATTTTCATTCGTAATAACAAAAAATATGTATAAATTAGTATAAGTTATGTACAACTTACCGCACTTGATTTGTCTAAAAATATCAACTCCGATTCTTCTGCATCCAATAATACAGAGACTGACTTTTCTCCATCTTCGTCTGAAATAAATAAAAAAAAAAAAGAAATATGTTTATAAATTATTGAACGTATACACCAAGGATTTTTCACAATATTATAATCGGCTTTAAAATAATTCGCCAAAAATAGCATTTTAGAATCTATACTTTTTATGTTGTACTATTTTATTGAAGTCATCATTATTATAACCTGAACTTTTGCCTATCATCATACTAAATGATACTATTTATACTTAGTATATGATTGTTACACTCTTACTAAAAATATTTTATACTATTATAAAAAAATAATTTTACTTTTCAAAAATGAAAGATAAACAAGTAATGTGACAAAAGGATACCTTTGTTTGATATTTAATAGCATTTCTAATTATATCATACTACGGGGTTGTCTTAATTATTTAATGAGCTGACGACATATTGGACCGATGTATATTTCTGGTTATCTGTTGAGCGTACGAGTAGTTCATCTGTGTCTTCTAGTGATGGGAAAAATCCGGATTTGCTGAAGTTTGAAATCCGAAATCCAGATTTTACTGTAAACCCGGATTTCGGATGCTATAATCCGGATTTTGCATGGAATTCGAATTTTGGATTTGATTTGATTAGTATTCTTTCAAGAACTATTTATAGTAAATACAAAATAATTAAACATATTTAAAATTAAATGATATTTTGACCTAACGCAATTAAGAATCTCATATACAAGTATTTGTGTAATATTAAATATATGTCGGATATCATAAAATACATTTTAGTTATTATTAGTTGTATCTCCAAAAAAAATGGTACGTAAAATTTTAAATATTTACCAATTATTAAGATATTTTATTAAGACAACCATCATCTTGTCCGAGAATTAAAATAACAACTAAAAAGTGGTGTAATGAAAGTTATATGATTAGAATACAGAAATTTGCAATAATAAACCCAAATCCGGATTTGGCAGATTTTCGATGAATCTGGATTTTATTCCCATCACCAGTTGTTACTTCGTGAACTTGGTCGACGGACGGCGTTCTTGTGTTCACTCACCCCTTCCCACTCCTATCACTTGCACGCCGTATTGCACCGCCCATCATATCACCGGTTTATGAATATTTAAATTGAGGGTTTTTTTTTTTTTTTCAATAAAGTACTATTTAATTAAACTAAAACTAGTTGTCTTTTTCTTATGTGTTCCGCCTACAACGGACTCATAAAATTTTAACTATTTTCATTTAAAAAATCGTTAGTATTATAAAGTACGAGCAACGGTATCCTCAAAGACCATCCCACATGGTATCATACTATTGGTATGTGATCAAATGTTCCGAGGTATTGAAGCAACACAACGACTCAATAATTTATCTACATATGATTTCCGATTTAATTTATTTCAAAAAATATCACATCAACTTCATTGATTAAGGTGTAATTTTTAAAAAATTCTATAGTGGTCCGACCTTATGGTCTCGTCCAGAAGGTTAGTGACCCTACTTTTTTTATATCCTTATAAAGTGCCATGTAGATTACAACATGATCCATTGCGTTTAGTCACAGTTATATTTATTTATTATTTTCATTTTTCGAGCAGTTGTAACATTTTAGGTAAACGTTGTATTACTTGGTTTTTATTTTAATTTGAAGTGAAAAGATGTTTGAATATAATTTTTTTGTAAATAATATTTAAATTAAACTAATTAAAAATAAATATACTTAGTTCAGTAATTATAGCTTGGTATTTTTATTTACATAGATTACTAGCTTAAAATAATAGATCTACTTTTAAATTTTGGTCATAGGATTACAATAGATTTAAGTTATTAAGATATTGAAAATTAAATAAATTGAATAACCATTGTAACCGATCACTTCAAATATTTTTTATGATATTTTGCAAAAATCGTTTTTGTTAGAATATTTATTTAATATCAATGCATAATTTGGTGTTTGCCTTTTAAAGAGCATTTTCAATTGTTCGGTGTAAAGTTTTAAAATTTTAAGTATCGATCAATGTGAATAAAGAGTATACAGGATTGTATGTATTTTTTGTTGAATTATTAAGAATTATATCATAAAAAAAAAAAAAAAACAACTGGTGATTATTATTAACAAGAAAATGTTAAAATGAATATTCAATTAATTAATAAAAGTTATATTTATGGTTAGCACAGTTTCGTATGGACTACCTTCGAGTGTGGCTTTTTCGCTATATCCGTGCAACGATATGATTATTGCCATTTATCGAAATAATTATCTCAGACCTGCAACAATAGAAGCGACATCACACCCAAAGAAGACTTCTACTTTTCCCTTCACACAATTTTCACTGTCATTCGAAAAAAGTGAATATAAACTGTATAGACAATACTAACTAAAATAATATTACATTACTTAACTAACTATTTAAAAATCATCCATTGTCGTGTTCTAATACCAAGACAACATCGCATACGTTGTTGACCTTTGAACTCAGATCTACAGCTGTATTCTCTAACATAGATAAAAAGTCGCAGTCAAAATTAAAAACTAACAAATATTCTCTACCTTCCTCACAAACGTTCCCCTCTAACACCACTATCATTTTCACCTCAGCCACTATCAAGAAATGAAAATTTTTTATTTCTCCAAACCGCTTCTCATACTTGCATATACACCGTTATCTAACTTCCATACCAATAACATCCAATTTCATACAGTTTTCTTATTGTCCAACAATGTACCTGTTATGTATGCAGCGGAATTCTGCTCTCCTAAGCATAATATATCACCGAATCAATTTACTGAATTTCTATCCATAATAATTATATAGTCGGTGGCGACCTTAATGCTAAGCATATTTAATGGAGCTACCATGCATCTAACCCTAGAGATGACTCTCACCTTTAAACTGCCTCCCACTCTAATATTTCAATTTTCTTTCTACTTAACTTCACCTACTGACCCACATATCGTCATAAAATGCTTGATATTTTAGATATTTTTGTTGTCAAAATTCCAAATAGCCTTCACGCACAAACTAAAAACTTATTAGATCTGTGTTCAGACCACTCACCTGTTTGCTAACTGTAGTTTGTCAACCTCTTGATAAAACCAATTAATCAATGCTATATCAATATCGAACAGATTAGGAAAATTTGGTAACATCTTATCTGAGAAATCTGATTTAAAACTTTGTCTAAAAATAACCTCTATTAAATCATATTTTACCTACTGTCGATGTTGTAAAAGTGTATTACCAATTTGATGGAAAATAAAAAAAACCAGCTGTACCCGATTTTTGCCGTTTACTTCCCTACAACTGCCTATAAATCTTCAGTTTTCAATCCGAACGAATTAAAAATTGCTCATAATTTTCTCTTAGTATTAAAGAATAATAAAATAAGAATTATAAATATTATTAACTATAAAGATAATTAAGAATAAAATTTCCCTTTTAAATTTATCACCATCTGTTAGACAAAATGTTTGATTCCTCTTAATTACCACTCAATAGTTAAATATATACATAATTATGATATACCGAATAAAATCTCAATTATTATATATTTATTGTAATTCACTGTACCTTCCATTACTAATCATTATGATTTAATTATATTTATTTGTATTTGTTAATTTATTTCGTTTAATGTATATTCATGTTTTTGTTCAACTATTATACCAGCTCATAATTGTTGAGCTATAATTACTTTGACCGAAACTTTTTATGATTCAAAGAAAAATTAAATAAATAATTTCATTAGTATATTATAATATTTCAACTGTGGATAAACCCAAATAGAAATTAAAATGAGTTTATCATGTTTGACAACATGTTTTAATTTTATGTTTGCATTATTCATAGCAAAGTTCTACTAACATTGAGCTGAGTACTTAAAAGACCGTTCCATAAACACATTTAACAACTATTATTTTAATTTTTATAGTACAACACTCTTAGGTAATTTATATTTATAAATAAAATCAATGTCAATCTGATAGCATGGTATTATATATTAATACCTAGATGTGTTATGGTTAGTTGTTAAAAGGTTAAAAATACTGAAGGATATGATTTTTAATATTTATGGTTTTAATAAATAAAGAACAATTTTAAAAATTTAATTATTTTAGAAATTTCGAAAGATAATTTCATGCGACAAAATATTGATGGTTTATCAAATTTTGTTTGAAATATAATCAATTTGTTTTAATCCAAGAAAAAATTACGTTAAAGTATATAACATACATTATAATTGAAAATTGAAATATATTTGTTGAGAATTAAAATTATTGCTTCTTAAAGTTTATTAATTAATAAATAAATATTAAATTTATTCTTGAATTATATTTTTAATAAACATATTTTTGTTTAAAATAATAAAAATTAATTAATATTTATAAAATATAAATTTGAAAAAAATATTTTAAATAATAAAATTTAAATAGTTCAATGAAAAACTGAAAGTGAAATTAAAATTAAAATATTAATGAACTTATTAAAAATTTTAATATTTTATAGTAACAATGATAACGCCATTGAATGAAAGAGAGAAAGTATCGACTGGATATCACAAGCCAGGTTCCACTCCTGGTCAAGTAACTAATTTTGTGACCTTTTTTGATTTCTTACAATTATATAAATTTGGAATTCGACATATATATATAAAAAAAAAGATTTTTTTTTTAAACCAAAATAGTGATTTAGTTGGAGAGTTGTGAAGGAAACGCATAATATTTAGTTGAATTTAATTAGATCAGAAGTAACTTACTTATTGGTGCTAAAGAAGTGTACAACTTTTTTTTACTGTAGTAATAAATACTAATCGATTATTATTTTTATCTTTATATTCGTGCGCTTTTTGTTTAAAGGATATCTCATAAAATAAAATATTCTGTTATTAAATTTACTGCTTCATCTTTCCATCAAATAACTTACAGCTATATAAATTTTTTTTTATTTTAACAATAAAAATTATCTACTTTCATGATTAAATAAGTAAAATCAAATTATTTTAAGAACAAAATTATTTAATTTATAATAAATAAACAATATC